GATGATGAAATCAGTAGGAAAACCCCTTCTTGGGTAGACAAGTGGCGGTTTGAATAAGGATGGCCCCAATAGGTTCATGTATTTGAGTGCTTAGGGAGTGGCCTGAGGAGAGGTAGCCTTGCTGGACTGGGTGTGGCTACGTCTGAGAAAGTGTGTCACTAGGGGGTGGGCTTTGCGGTTTCAGAAGCCCAAGTCAGGCCCAGGGGCTTTTGCTATCTGCCTGCTGCCTGTGGATACGGATGTGGACTCAGCTACTTTCCAGCACCATGTCCGCCTGCATGCCACCATGCTTTCTGCCATGGTGACAAATCTCTCAACTGTAATCAAGCCCCAATTAAATGCCTTTCTTTCTAAGAGTTGCCATGCCTCAAACTCTTTAAGTTCGAGGCCAGCCTGGTCTACAGAGTGAGTTCCAGGATAGCCCAGGCTACACTACACAGAGAACTCCCACCCCTCCACACACACACCAAAAAAAAAAAAAAAAAAAAAAGAATTGCCCATGGTCATGGTGTCTCTTCACAGCAACAGAACACTGACTAAGACAACATGTCAAATGAGAACTGGAATTTTCAGGAGTGTCACAGGTTCAACATCTTTTATCTGAAATGCTCAGGATCAGAAGCATTTTCTATTTTGTACTTTAGGATCTTAGAATTTTTGCACACATGCAATGAAATGTCTTAGGGAAGGAACCAAAGTCTAAACACAAAATTCATTAGTGTCTCATATATACTTTGAACACATAGCCAGAAGGTAATTTGACACATAATTTTCATCACATAACGTGGTTTGAAGGAGTTGGAGAGATGGCTCAGTGGTTAAGAGTGCTGGCTGCTCTTCCAGAGGACCCAGGTTTGGTTCCTAGCACAGGTGGCTCACAAACATATGTAAGTCCAGCTCCAGAGTGTCTTTGGGCTGCTGTGGGCACCTGCATGCACAGGCATGGTTTTTGAAAACATGTTTTCTGATGACCATCCTTACGTCCTCACGCTTGTAAGGCAGGTACTCTAACAACTGAGCCATCTCAGCCCTTTCTCTGAATTCCTCGGCGATCTTTTACTTCTACTACCACTCCCAGACCCACCCTGTCTCTCTCTGACAGGGTCTTACTATGTAACCAAGGCTAGCCTGGAACTCTGTATGTAGCTCAGGTTGGCCTGCAGCTCACTGTTCTCTTGTGTCCATCTTCTAATCCAGTATTACAGGTGTAGAACACCACATTTGGGTTGTCAATTATTAAATGATCACTCATCGGGATGTGAAGGAGTACCAGGCTTTGCCACGGTAGATTTGTCAGTCAACATATACATGCCTCTGTGAACCTGATTTCACGTGAAAGTTTGGTTTGTATAGATCACATGACAACTGCACAGAGCCTCGGTGGAATCCACTTACCATGGAAAATAGATCCCAGGGTTTTTTTTATACTTGCTGAAGCAGCTTCAGGGTAAAGAAATGAGTATAAAGATGTTGGATTTTGGCTAGTATTAAGAGAGATGATCTTGGGCTGGACAGATAGCTCAGAGGTTAAGAGCAGTGCTTACTCTTCCAGAGGTCCTGAGTTCAATTCCCAGCAACCACATAGTGGTTCACAACCATCAATAATGAGATCTGGTGCCTTCTTCTGGCATTCAGGTGTACATGCAGACAGAACATTGTTTACATAATAAACAAAACAAAACAAAACCCCAGAGATGATCTTGCCTTTGCAGGAATGAACAGAACTTGGGCAGTAGTGGTGCGTGCCTTTAATCCCAGCACCTGGGAGGCAAAGGCAGGTGGATCTCTGAGAGTTTGAGGCCAGCAAGAGTGAACTGCAAGATAGCAAGGACTACATAGAGAAACCTTGTCTCAAACAAACAAACAAAAACAAAAACAAAAAAAAAAAAGGAAAAGGAAAAAGAAAGAAAAGAAATGAACAAAAACATCCCTGGTCAAATTTAATACAATTAAACTGAGCCTATACACTTTTTAAATTGTTTTGAAATAAGATCTCATGCAACTTATGAGACCTTGAACTCACTATGTAGCTGAGATTGAACTTCAACTCTTTTTTTAAAATTTCAATTCTTTTATTATTATTTTTAATTTTTACTTTTTATATTAATCACAGGTCATTTACTTTGCATCCCAGCCATAGCCTCCTCCTTCATTCCCTCCCTAATTTGAATTCTTGATCCTCCTGCCTCTACATCCCAAGTGCTAGGATGGATTACAGGCCTGCACCATCACATTCAGCTCTGTATTCATACTTTAAAGAACAGAGTAGGCTTTGTAGCTTAAAAGGGATCTGGGGAAGAAGTTGCCAAGTCTCTGACCTGGAAACATCTCTGCTATTCTAGATAATGAAGCCAGAATTAGTGTGAGAACAGCTTGGAGAACTTGAAGTTAGCATTTCTGTTTCTGCAGAGAAGAGCATTTTGTGTGACATTTCTCCCATTTCTCCACCGAGTGTTGGGAACTTTGTTCCAATGTGGCAGTGTCCACGGTATCTGGAGGTGCGACTCTGGTAGGTGACTGGGTCAGGAGGGTGAATGGGTTCATGGGTTAATGAACTGATTAGCAAAGGAGGGCTTTGTAGAAAATCAAGATCTCCCTGGCTCATGTGTTTTGAGCAATGAGGGGAAGGTTTTGATTGCCTTGAGACTCAGTGTTGTCTCCAGCAAAAAACATTTAATGAATTTAAATGCTTTACCTTGGGATTTCTAATCGTGAGAAATGTGTTTTGTGCTAGACATGCTGGCTCAGGTCTATAAACCCAGAGCTCCCAAGGTAGAGGCACGAGGGCCAGAAATTCAAGGTTATCCTCAATACACAAAAGTGAACTCAAGCCAGCCCCAGCTGCCTAAGATCTTCTCAACACCCATGCCCTCAAATGAGCTTCCTTTATTCATCAACTCTATTTCCTGTACTCGGTTACAGCCTCATAAAATGGACTCGGATGTCTTTGGCAACATTTTGTGACAATATAACTACAGCTAGTGGTCATAGGAGTTTCTGCATTGTCGGATATCCCGTAGTTCTCCAAAATTCTTACGCACTCCCCACCTCCAACGTAGGGTTTGATATATAGTCTAGGTTGGCCTTGAATTTTTGACGCTATGCCTCGGCTTCTAGAGTGCTGGGTTACCGAGCATGCACCACGGGTGGCTCAAGGGACTGTGCTTTGACTGTTGTGATGCTTAGTGTTCTGTCAACTTGACACAAGCAGATGAAACCTTAACTGAGACAATGCCTCCCTAAGAAAAATGTCTGTAGGCAAGTTTGCGAGGGCAGTTTCATGATTAATGACTGATGTGGGCAGCTCCAGCCCACTGTAGGTGGTGCCATTCAAGGGAAGATGGTTTGGGGCTGTCAACTCCTGCATCTAAGTTTTTGCTTCTGCTCCTGCCATGACTTTCTTCGGTGATGGACTTTGGAAGCAACTTACTGGAACTTATAAACCAACTAAACCCTTCCCCTACCTGCCAAGTTGCTTTTAGTGATGGCGCTTATCACAGCAAGAGAAAGCAAGTTAGGACAAATGCCAAATGGAGGGGAAAAAAATCACACGGGATTTTTGTTCTCTAATAGCTTCTGTATCTATACAGTTTCTATTCTACCAACAGAGTTTCTGTTGCAACAAAAACTTAGTCATTGTCTGTTGTTTGTTTTCTCGAGACAAGGTTTCTCTGTGTAGCCTTGGCTGTCCTAGACAGCTTTCTAGATCAGACTGGCCTCAGACTCACAGAGATCCACCTGTCTCTGTCTCCTGAGTGCTGGGATCACAGGTGTGTACCAGGACGCCAGGCATTTCAGGAGCTGTGATCAGGCCAGGCATAGTGGCACATGTGTGTTATCCCAATACTTGGGAGGTGGAGGAAGGAGGATCAGGAGTCAAAGGTCACCCTTAACTATATAATGAGTTTGAGTGCAGCCTGTACATGACAGCCTGTTTAAAAAAAAAAAAAGCAGAAGACAAGCAAGAGCTGTGGTTACCTTACCTCTCCAAATCCAGAAAAGGGGGCTGGTGAGATGGCTCACCAATAGTTTGAGGCAGCCACTGCCAAGCCTGGCAATGCGAATTTGATTTCTAGGATTCCACATGGTGAACGGAGAAGACCAACTCCCATGAGTCCTCCATCAACTTCCACTGTGCATGCGTGTGCTCATACACGCACATTAAGTTAAAAACAAGCAGAAAAGGGCATATGCTGCCACCAGATGGTAATATTGCCCCACCAGCCATGCAGCCCCAAGAGGAAGGCCTTTTAGAAAGGACCGGAGATAGGCTCTCCACATGCTCACGTATGTGAACATGTATACGTACAGGCATGCGCATGTATGAACATGGACAGGCACACACGACACACATACGTGAACATGTAGAACACCTACAACATACATGAATATGCGCACACACATGAACACATACATTCATAAATGAACATGTACCCACGCATACATGAACACATACACACACAAATGAAAAACATGCTACGAAACGTTCAATTTAATGTGACAAAAATAAAATAAAAGTAGGAGTTGGCCTACAGGAGCAGAAGTATTTTCTCTCTATTTTCCTTTTTTCTTGTTGAGACTGAGTCTCACTCAGGAACTCACAGCAATTCTCCTGTCTCAAGTGCTGGACTTACACATGAGCCACTGTACCTACCTTGGATTAACCCCCTTTTTTTAATGTTACAAGGTCTTGTCTTACTTTGTAACCCTGGCTGGCCTAGAATTTGGGATGTAGAACAGTCTGGCCTTGAACTCACGGTTTGTGCTCCCAAGTGCTAGGATTATAGGCATGAGCCACCATGCCCACTTGAGTGACTCTTCTTTAATGTGACTCTGAATTCTGACATGAATAGCTGGAAGACTGTGCTTGGTGTTCATGAGGGATCACAGAAAATAAAGGGCTGATCTTTTTACATTAGATTATGTAGTAAAACAGTCAAGGAAAACTAACTCAAGAGAACAATTTTTAATTATTGAATTAAAAATTTACATAACCTTGTTGAACATAATATATGGAACATGAAATTCACATGTAACTGTTTTTTCTATGTAAGAATATCTCCCTTTGAGCAAACCTGTCACACCACAATCTGACTGGCAATTCACCATTTGGAAACTTTGGCACAGGACTTTTTCACATGGCACATTCCCAAGACATGTTTAAAATGGTTTGATCTTTTAAAAACTGATTTGTATCTAACTTTAGATTGGTTAAAATGAGGTATACTCTGCTGAAATACATGTTTCAGCTTTCAATAAAGGCTTTTCTATACATCAAAATGTAATGTCATTTTAGGGAAAAATTGCTGAATTCATGAGGTGTGCATCTGAGAATATGTGCAGAGTGGAAGAAAGTACAGAGTCCAAGTCGGTGTGTGGGGAGTGTACGACACGCTACATCATAAACAGTTTCCATTCCAGTCACAGATTTCCACCTTAGAAAGTCCAGTCCACAACCTTTTCAAGAGAGCTTGAGACAGAGCTCAACAGTAAAGCGCTTGCCCAGTGTGCTCAGTGCCATAGATTTGGTGCCCAGCATTGCATACAAAACTGAACCAAACCAATAAGCTTCCCCAGAACCTTGGGAGGAAACACCTGTGTGTCACAGCAAAAGCACACCTATGGGAATGAGTATATGTGCAAGGATGGCTGTGCCACCAGAGTGGCATGGTCCTTCCTTGTGGCAGGGCATCTAGTCTTAGACCAGTTTTGTTTCACATCTGGAGCTGGCCCTAGGCTGGAGTTTGTGCTTCTCTTTGGAGAGCATGATGCCGGGAAGCCTGGCTTCTTGCTCTGCACGAACAAGACAAAAGAGTTGAATTCACTTTCTGCGGCAGTGTCTACGTTATCCTTAGGCTTGAGGCTGGCCTCAGCAGATAGGAACTAGAAACATTTGCATTTTCTCCCCAAACACCAAAATGGCTGACAGTGATGCAGGGCAGAGGTGAGTCAGACATTTGATCTAGTTTCTTAGCCAAGCAGAGGACAACGGGCAACACTGCCGTTGGTCTGGGAAGCAGAAGGAGTGCTTTTTATGAGCTGCCCACCAACATTACACAAAGAAAGAGAGACGTAGTGTGCCAGAGGGGCTGCCCGCCTTTCCAGCTCTGATATCTGACACACTTGTTACAGGCTAATCAGCATGTTTCAGTTGTACATACGGTTTTGTAACGTACAGGCTTGAAGTGATGGATGCTGAATGAGGGAGGAGGACAAGCTCCTCACTTGTTAGCCTGCTACAACTCTTACTTGATTACCTACTAAAAAGTATGATTTTTAAAGTCTTTTCTGGAAAAGCTATTTTATCCATAATAAAACAAGTGCTTTTACTGTGTGTCTTTATGTGCACCAGAAGGTATCAGATCTCCTGGCATGGAATGGATGGCTGTGAGCCTCCATGTGGGTCCTGGGAACAGAACTCAGGTACTCTGGAAGAGCTGTAAATGCTCTTAACTGCTGGGCCATCTCTCTACTCTCTGTCTGTCTGTCTGTCTGTCTGTCTCTCTCTCTATATATATATAGATATATACATATATATGTATATATATACATATGTATATATATACATATATACATGTATATATATCTATATATATACATATGTATATATATGTATATATACATATATATGTATATATCTATATATATAGAGATACATACATATATAAAAGCTTAAGGCTGCTGGCCTTTTGCTGGGGCAGTCTCTCAGCTAGCTTCCAACTTAACCTGACTCCTCCGCCCTTGCATCTCTATATGGTTCTCACTGCTGGCTTTCCAACTCTATCAAGTCTCCCTTCTGCTTCCTTCTCTGTTCTGGAACTTACTCTGTAGACCAGGGTCGCCTCAAACTCACAGAGATCTGCCTATGTCTGCCTCCTAGGTGCTGAGACTAAAAGCATGTGCCACTCTGCCCAGGTTCCATAATTATTATTTTTGAAACAAGGTCTTGGATGTTGTCATGGATGGCCTCAAAATCATTGTCTGGCCCCAAGCATATGATCCTTCTGCCTCAACCTTCAGTTTCGTTTAAATGTCCCTTAGCCTTCCTCTTCAGTTGGTACTACTCCATGGTAATCATGTGTCACTCTTCCTCGAGGATTTTATCTTTTGGAGTCTCAAAATGACAGGTCCTCCAGAAGACTCTCATAGGTAAATGAGAACATCTACACAAGAATTAACCTATGCAAAACCTAGAAAAACATCGGAGATTTCATGATGGGAAGACTTCGCATGGTTCACTGTATAACCAACTTACCTCAGCTAATGCAGAGGTTTTCAGCTTTGTTCTACCCAGACACATGTGAGGAATATCCTACTGGCACACCCAGGGCCCAAAGCCTAAGCTACTTTTCTCCTTTTCTGAGACAGGGTCTCACTAGTACAGCTGCCTTAGCCTCCAAAGTGGCTAGAATTCCAGGTGGGCCCCACCACACACAGCTAACCCAGGGTTATTTGGAAGGAGCCTCATTAGTTGTTGCGGTCACTAAGTGCAAATGGGTGTGAGATGTGTTATTAGAAGGACATGTTATAAATAATTCTCTTGCTTTACAAAGGTAAAAACTTGGAGAGCTGGAGAAATGGCTCAGTGGTTAAGAGCAGTGGCTGCTCCTCCAGAGGTCCTGAGTTCAATTCCCAGCAACCACATGGTGGCTCACAACCATCTATACTGGGGTCTGATGCTCTCTGTTGGCATGCAGGTGTACATGCAGACAGAGCATTCATTACATTAAATAAATAGATACATCTTAAAAACAAACACCCTTGGTTTGAACACGGCCCATCTGCTCTGAATCTCACGTGGTGGTGTGGGAGGCAGGGCCTTAAGAGCTCATTCAGAAATTTTAATTCTTACAGAGCTGGGCTATTTTGAGGGGCTGTATTAATTACTAGAAAAAAATGTTATATAGTGAGGCTACTCTGCCAAGGCATGGTGGCACACACTTGGGAGGCAAAGGGAGGCAGATCTCTAATCCAGCCTGGTCTACATAGTGAGTTTCAGGACAGCCAAAGATATGTAGAAAGACCGTGTCAAAAAACAAAAAACAAAAAACAAAAACAAAAAAAACCAAAAACAAAAACAAAATTGAAGCTGCTCCTTGTAGTTTGATCCTTGTGCATTCAGCCTCTTATTCTTCTAGTATGTTCTGAAGCAGCACAAGGCATCAAAAGGATTCTTGGACTCTAATCTCCAGAAACATGAGCTAAGCAAATACCTTTCCAGCCAGGCATGGTGGTACACTCCTGTAATCCCAGCTCTTGGGGAGCAGAGGCAGGCAGATTCTGTGAGTTTCAGGCCAACCTGGTCTACAAAGAGAGTCCAGGACAGGCAAGGCTACACAGAGAAACCCTGTCTCAAAAAAACAAAAATAAAAAAAACAAAACAAAACAGAAAACAAATTCCTTTCCTTTATAAATTACCTAGCCTCAGGCATTCTGTTACAGCAACATAAAATGAACATAAAATAGACAAGTCATTTATATTTATATACTTCAGTTTTGAGTGATCATTGTTAATGCTGGCCATACATGCCAACTATGACATGACATGATGACATCCTATGACACTAACATTACATACCTACTATCAACTTCAACTGACATACTTCCATGGATCTTCAAAATGATGGCAGCCTAATAGATACTAGTTGAGATTAAACTCTTTTTTTTAATAACTTTTTTTTAAACAAATAGATCATTTTTTATTTTGTCTTTTCCTTTTTTTTTTCCAGAGCTGAGGACTGAACCCAGGGGCCTGTGCTTGCTAGGCAAGCGCTCTACCACTGAGCTAAATCTCCAACCTGAGATTAAACTCTTGATATCCAAATTTTAGCTCTGTGTGAGCCAGCTTTAATCCTGTCCTACCTTGAGGGCTGTGCCCCAGAGTGGCCAAGGTGGTTTGAGCCTGAGGGTACAAACTACCTTGGATGTTCACCAGAGCAGAACAAATCTGAGAAGGTAACAGTGTGGAGAGAAGCACCACTCATCCAAATCACACAATATGTGTGAAAATTAATTAAGCTGGGCGTGGTAGTGCACGTTTATAATTTTGGCACTTGGGAGGCAGAGGCAGGAAGATGGTTGGAAGTCTCCATGAAGCCAGCCAGGTGGTCTATATAATGAGTTTCAGGCTAGAAGAGGCTATGTATCGAGAACCTGTCACAAACAAAACAACACACAGACAAAACAAAACAAGAACATTGACTAAGATTAACTGCTGGCATGTGTATGTACAAATGAGGTGAGTACCTGAATTTTTTCTTTACTCTTAGGTAGAACCAGGCTGCTCAGTGTTGGATCCAGGGATGTGTCTTTGTTTCTTCCACTTAACTGTGTCTAAAATAAATGAATACATCCTCGCTAAATTCTCCTGGTGAACATTGTGGGTATATCAACTACACAGTTTTTGCTCATGCATACTGGCTGAGGAGGCTAACCCAAAAGGGAAGGCAAAACACAGAGGAGCGGCAGCCCGGGAGGGCAGTATGGATGTTTATTTGGTACCCCTAGGGGCCTGGAGCTATCCAGTGTCCCATCCCCTCCGACGCTAAAGCTACCGCTGACGCAGGCATTAGCATCTCAGACGCTGCGCTCCCAGCTGAGCAGCTCACACAATAGAGGATTCTCAGAAATGCTTAGGAACGCAAGTGTTCTGGATGTCAGGTTTAGCCTGGTGTAAGCATGACATTTACTGAGTTCCAGATGCGCACTTACGCACAGGGCCTGCAGGTACTGTATGGACGTGTTGTGTGTGTAAGTGTTGTGTATGTTAGTGTGACAGGGTGACAGCTGTGGAGTTTCTTTCTAAACCCGGAGTTCATCAACTGGTTTAGACTGGCCAGCCGGGCCCTGGCACCTTCCTGTCTCTGCCTCCTCCGCTGAGATTACATCGGAAACTGCCACACCTGACTTTACGTTGGCAGTAGGGGTTCATGCTCAGGTCCTCACGCCTCCTCAGCAGGCTCCCACCCATTGAGCCAAACCTTGTCTAAAGATAATTTTGCATAATAAAAATGTATTGTTATTACTGTGTTGGGGTGTGTGTGTGTGTGTGTGTGTGTGTGTGTGTGTGTGTAAGTGGGCAACTGTGTGCATGACATGTGTGGAGGTCAGAGGACAACCCGTGGGAGTTTCTTTCCTTATACTGTGAACTCTGGAAATCAAATTTAGGTTGCAAGTTTGAGCAGCAAATGTCTTTATTCACTGAGTCAACTCACTGACTTTTTATATGATGCTTGTTAGTACGTTTTTTGTTTGTTTGTTTGTTTTAATGAAACCAGTTTCATGGTACAGAATTTTCCAATTTCAGAGTCATGTCTCTCAAACTGGGCTGGAATGGGGCTGGAATTTGAACAGACTTGAAAGCTTGTGGTCTTGGCACATGTGTTAGACATTCAGTAGTCCTTAGTGTTGAGCTGAAATGGTTGCACTCTGTGGGGTTTCCCCAGGATAGTGCAGTTGGAACTCACTGGACTTGCTGTATTGTTGATAACCACAGAGAAGAGTTCTATATGAGGAAGGCTCATTTTCTTTCTATCCAATCGACTAAGAACCAGCCACTATTGTATCAAAACCTGTGAGGTGTGTGTATGTGAGTGTATGTGTGTGTGTGTATGTGAGTGACTGTGTATATGTTTGCATATATATCTGTATAAGTGTATATGTATGTATGTGTTAGTGTATGCCATGTGCCAGTGAAGGCCAGAAAAGGCAATATGTATGTATATATGTATGTATGTATGCATATATGTATAAGTGTATATACAGGTGCCTGTGGAGGGCAGAAGAGGCAACAGATCCTTTGGAGATGGAGCTACAGACAGCTGGGAGCCACCTGATGTGGGTGCTAGGAACTGAAATCAGGTCCTCTGCAAGAACAGCAAGCATCCTTAACTGCTGAGCCATCTTTCCAGGATCTTTTCTTCCATATTTAGAGAAGCGTCTTTCTAAGGCACCCAGACTTGCCTTGACCTTGTGGTCCTTCTTTCTTAGTCTCTCTATGAGCTGTTATTACAGGCCTATGTCACTATGCCTGGTTCAAGAAACATTTTTTTAAAGCACTGCTGAGAACTGAACTCAGAGCCTTACACACAGAAGGCAAGTTTCCTACCACTGAGCCATAAACTTTTACTCTGAAATCTACTTTTTTCCCCTTTTGGTACTAGATCTCAAGTGGATCTCCTTGGTCTCCTTGCTTCTACTTCCTAAGTGCTCAGATTACAGGTGTGTGCCAACATATCCAGTGAGAATCAGGATTTCGGCTGTAAGATTCTAAAGCACTGAAAGCTGTCTGGGCGCCTCCTCTCCGTGTATCTTCCTCTGCAGCACCTGAGATCTCAGGAAAAGATGGCGTCTTGTTTACCGCTGCACTGTCAGTGTCCAGTAAAGGACCCATCATACCATAGGCAGTCTGTTAATGTGTGGGTGTATGTATGAATGCATGTATGGATGAGTAAAGTCGCCTCCTCTCATGCTCTTCATATAAAATCACAAATCATCAATATTTGATATAAGATTTCAGTTTTTAATCCAAAGCAATGTTAGCATCATCTTCATCCCCAGGTAACATAATGGCTACTGCGTCCTTCACCTAGCAGGACTGATATGCTAATTGGAGAAATCAGAGAACCTGTGACAAAGAGTCAAGCAAAAATACCTCATTGAGCCTTGGCTTTTCACTTCTCATTATTGAAGAACTAGAATTCTGTGGACTTTTCAAAAAAGTAGATTTCTTGTGCAGAGTAGAAGCAAATCTTGGCCTTCCCTGCAAGGATTGAGTGAAAAGTTTTCCAGTTGATCCTCATCTACCCAATTCACCCACCAGTGAAGTGCTCTTGAAAGCACTTCTCTCTACAGAAAGCACAGAGTCTAGGCAGGGTGGCTCTGGTGACTATTACCATACTACCATACCATATTCCCAGACTCCAAACACGGGGGGAGAGGCGTCCCCTCCTGACCCTCATCTCAACCACCCGGCCACGCTAGCTGAGCTCCAGCTAACACTCCCCAGCTCCCGCCTCTTTCTCGTGCTGTGTCTGAGTGAAGGATAGGAGAGGACCTGTGGGATGAGGCTGAAATCTGCTCAGACACATCAGAAGACCTGAGGAAGAACTCTGACCTCCAAACAGAAAGCACCCCCCCCCTTCCCACCACCCCTTCTGGTTGGGAATAAACTCTAGCCCTGTCTCCTGCCTCGGCCTTGGAGCACCGATGATAAACGGCAGAAGTGGGCAGCAGAGATGGCTTACTGGGGCATCTTCTGTTAACTTTAACTCCCGCATCAAATAACTTTTTTGGTACTGCTCATTTCGCTGTTTTCTAGTCTGCAGTCTCTTCTTTTTTGGTTTCTTTAACACCATCTTCTGATTCAGCTGTTCCAGAAATGACAGAGAAACTGGTCAGAGGGGGTTGCTGAGTTATGCTCATCATAACTCACATGGCAGTTTTCATGTAATAGTGAGCAGGTGGTAGCCCGCATGTGGAGAGGGAGTCAACAGTTCAACCAGCTTCTGTCCAGGGGCTGTTCCCTATTAAACGCACCTGACTCCCACCAATATAGATTGCTACCAAAGGGCAGCTGGATCAATGCCCAAAGGTCCGTGATTTACAACACAAGACCAGGTGGCCTATGGTAACAAGGTCAGGTCCAGATCTCTCTGATCACTGACATGTGGCCAAAATATCCAGCCTGATGTTACTCTAAAGAAGCTCCAGAGGTTAAGCAAGAAGCACAGAAAGGACACAGCAAAACACTCCGGGGCAGGGTGACCAGCTGGGGCACAACTGTAATTTTCTGTTCGACTCACTGGTGACGGAAACCAGGAACCCACTCGTCCTTAGCAAATGCTTGCGGCATCCCCAGGACTAGTGCTGCTGTATTTTCTGAAGATTCTAGGACCGCTGGAACAGTTCCCCTATTATCTAGTGTTATGATGCTTTAAGGTTGTTTTCTTTTCTATTTTTATGTTTTGGGTGCGGACAAGAATCAGTGCGCTCTCACCTCATCTGCTATGCCTACTAGATGAACAGGAAGACCATCCGAGAGGGAGCTGTCGGAACCACTCGTGCTAGTTCCAAAAGGGGAAAAGAAGAAGACGATGACAACAACTGTTATTAAGGAGGCAGTGGCTCTGTACCCAGGAGTTTACAATCAGCAGAAGCAAGGACTGGCAGATGGGCAAAGGTGCCCTGGTGGAGGGTGAGTGAGACCAGGGGACACACCGGGTGCGGCCCTAGAGAATGTGATTTCCCTGAAAACAGAGGCTTTCCCTTCTTTGTTTCTTTTGAGCTGACACTAATTTCCAAAAGCCAGCATTCTACCAATTACTCTGGGAAAACGTGCTGAATGTATAAATACATAAACGTGATAAATAATCAACAGGCTAAACACCATGAAAACGACTGCGAGAATTTTTAGGCAAGCCAGGCACGTTGGCACACACCTGCAATCCCAGAACTCTGAAAGGCAAAGACAGATGGATCTTTGTGAGTTCGAAACCAGCCTTGTCTACAAAGTGAGTCTAGGACAGTCAGGGTTATACAGAGAAACCCTGTCTCAATTGGAAAAAAACAAAACAAAAACAAATAAACAAAAAGAACTTGTAGGCAGGTGCAGTGGTGCACAGCTCTAAGTCAGCATGCAGGACACTGAAGCGGGAGAAATGCTGGGTCCAACCTGGGCTACTGTCACACCCTGTCTCAATAAGGAAAACAAGCTGGATGTGGTGGTGTGTCTCTCTAACTAAAAACACTCTGGAGGCAGAAGCAAGTGGATTTCTTTGGATTTGAGGCTAGTCTTGTTTACATAGTGAATTCCAGGCCAGCCAGGTCTACACTGTGAGACTCTGTCTAAAAACAAACAAACAATAAACAAACACACATGAAAGGAAGGAAAGAAAGAAGAAAGGAAGGAAGAGACAAAAACATTGGAGGGGTCTGGAGAGGTGGTTCAGGTATGGAGACCACGGTCTGCTCTTCAGCGGACCCTAGTTCCGTTCCCAGAGCCCGCATGATGGCTCACGCCTTTCTGTCATTCAGTCCAGAGAGTTCTGTGCCCTCCTTTGAGCTCTACAGTCACTGCATGAATGTGATACACATACATACATGAAGGCAAAGTACATATCCACATAAAAGAAAATAAAAAGTCTGGAAAGGTTTTGTTTGTTTGAGGGGAAGGGGCTAGAGACTGATCCCAGGGGCTCGCACATGCCGAGCAGGTTCTTTGCCAGCGAGTTACCTCACTGGCCCTGGACTACTACTGTTAACTATTTCAATTCTTCATTCACAACTTCTGGGTGTAAATATAGACTAATCTAAAGTCTTCCTCCACAAACTCTCTTCCCTGTCTTCTCCATTGTTCTGGTTCCTCATAGTACCTCTGTAGATTTCCTGTCCGATTTTAGGACGAAGGAGTGGATCCAATTGGAATCTGAGAAGCCTGAGGAACACCAAGAGGCCAGTGGCCTCACCATCAAGACATCCAACTGCTTTGAACATAACAGGATCTAACTGCCTTGAAAGGCTTTACCAGTTGCTAAGGTGGGCTTGGGAAGCCCCACCTTCCTCACTTCTGTTTGCTGGTCCGGCTCTTTTCAGAGCATGTAATTATGACTGTAAGACTGAAATCAGTCTAGATCCAATCAGATTGACACCTCCTTCAATCACCACTGATATTTTGTTCTAACTTACTATCACTTTTCATTTGAATTATTACAAGGGCCATTTTTTGTTTTGTTTTTGAGACAGGCTGTGGTGATTTGAGTGAGAATGGCCTCCTAAGTTCATAAATGGGGGCCCAGTTAGCAGAATTGTTTGAAAAGGATTAGAAAAGGTGTGGGCTTGTAGGAGGTCATGTGTCGCTGAGGGAGGTGTTGAGGTTTCAAAAGACTGGAGCCATCCAGTGTCTCTTTCTGCCTCCTACATGCATATCAAAATATGAGCTCCCAAGTCAGTTCCAGTGGCATACATCTTTAATTCTAGCACTCAGAGGCACAGTCAGGTGGATCTCAATGAGTTCGAGGCCAGCCTGGTCTACATAGTGAGTTCCAGGACAGGCAGAACTATATAGTATCTCAAAGAAAACAAGATAAAGCAAAACCAAAAAGGAGATGTGAGCTCTCAGCTGTTCCTGCCACCATTTCTTTGTTCACAGACTCTAATTCTCTGAAACCATAAATCCAATTAAACACCTTCTAAGTTATCTTGGTCATGGTGTTTTGTTGCAGCAATAGAAAAGTAACTAGACATAAGGTCTTTCTATGTAGCCCTGGCTTTCCTGGAACTCACCATGTAGATCAGGCTGGCCTTGTACCAACAGATACCTGCCTATATCCCTCCAGAGCACTGGAATTAAAGGCATGTGTTACCATACGTGGCACAGGTCTCAAGACATGGACATGCTTTTAATCTGCATGGGCATGCCTTTTATTCAACAGAGGTAGACAGATCTCCATGAGATTCAGGCCAGCCAGGGTGATACAGTAAGACTGTCTCAAAACAGACAGATAGATAGATAGATAGATAGATAGATAGATAGATAGATAGATAGATAGCAGACAGATAGATATAGATACACGATACGTAGATACATAGATACATACACAGTTAGGTAAATAAATAAATAAATAAATACATACATAAATACATAAATAAATAAGAGGGCGGGGTGACATGTAAATGTAACTCCTTAAGGCTTTCCTTAAACCTCCAAGGCCCCTGGCCTCTGTCTCTCAAGTACTGGAATCAAGGATGTATTACCAATCTCAGCTTTTTTTTTTTTTTTTTGAAATGAAGTTTTTTACCTGGATTCAATGTCAGACAAAGGAATATCACTCCAGTTTACTTCTAAATCCATATCTTGTCCAAAGTTATTGAACTTTTTGTAGATTTCTTGTTGTAAGAGATCCTTAAGCTCTTGTAGACAATGCATGTACTATATAGCAGAGGGAAAAACAGTTTTACAAGCTTTTCCTGCAATGTTTTTGAGTGTATGCTGAAAGGCACTTAATTTATTGTTGGGGTAAGCTGTAATGACTTCTACTGAGGACATTATAAGTTATATAGGTTATACAAGTCAAACTATTTTAAAGTAGAAGATGAATGAGCAATGTCTTAGCCACTATTCTATGGCTATATCTCACTTCTGCAATTGTTTCCTTTATTTTCCAGGTTGCAAGCACGGTTAGTGGTTTGAAAGAAAATGGCCTCCATCGGCTCATAGGGAGCTATTAGGAGGTGTGACCTTGTTGGAGTAGGTGTGGCCTTGGAGGAAGTGTGGCATTCACTTCCTGCTGCTGGAAGATCCAGACACAGAACTCTCAGCTCCTTCTCTAGCACCATGGCTGCCTGCATGCTGCCATGCTTCCCACCATGACGATAATGGACTAAACCTCTGAAACTGTAAACCAGCCCCAGTTAAATGTTTTTAAGAGTGGTCCTGGTGTCTCTTCACAGCAGTAAAACCCTAACTGAGTCAGAAGGAAGAGTTGTTCTGACTTTAGCCTCTGGCAAGGATGGCCTGGATAAAGATGTAAGTAAGTAGGAGAGCCGTGCCCCAGATGAGGGAGGAGGCCTTGTGTTCCATCTCCAGCATCACAGGGGGAAGGGAAGTGCTGGCTGAACAGTACTTCTAATTCTTTACCAAGCATTGTACCCAAGGTAGTGCACATCAAGCCAACACTTCAACAGGAACATGAGACATGAGTTACTATGGATGCATACCCCCTCTCAAATTGAGTAAGAGAATCGGAAATAGCCACTAGAAGAACACGGCCAGAGGAAACCTTCATGCTTTAGGACAGAGGCAAGCTGGAGAATACTTACAGTGGAGGCGAACGATAAGATTTTAAGAAACTGAAAGGACACGGGAAAGGAAAGCAAGTGCCGAGGCCTAGCCGTGCAACAGGGGTATCTGCTTGTGCAAAGGGCAGTATTCGTTCAGTGAAGCGAGTGCGACATGTGTGCAACCATGAGCAAAACTGTAAGTTAGGGACAATTTACTGTTGTTGACAATTTACAGGCTAGGGGTTCCATTTTCGCTGATGATAAAAAACGTCAGGTAAAAATAATATTAAGAGGAAGACAAAGACTGTCTGGGTGGACTCTGGACCCATGTCCTGATTATCCATTTTTACCTTGGTTTGGTCAGGATCACAGAAATCCAGAAGCGTGTCACAGACATGATAGCCTAGGGACTTCAGGTCCTCAATAGTGAAGTGAGTGTCTCTTTTACTGCCTGGAAAACAAACAAACAAACAAACAAACATTTATTAGATTAAAAAAAAAGTGGGGATGGAGAGATGGTTTAGCAGTTAAGAGAATTTTCTCTTCTTGCAGAAGACCCAGGTTAGTGACCCTGACCTATATGGTGACTCACAACCAACCATAACCCAGTTTCAGGGGAATTCATTGCTCTCTTCTGGATTCTGCAGGCACTGTCTACACGTGGTCCAGGCAAAAGACTCACACACAAAAATATAAAAATAAAAATGTAAAAATTACATGTAGCCGTAGGTTTCTGTGAGCATAAGTACAAAGTGCTCAGAAAGATCAGAGACATTGGGTCCTCTGGAGCTGGAGTTACAGGCAGTTGTGAGCTGCCTGACTTCAGTGCTGGGATTGAACCCAGGTCCTCTGGAGGAGCAGCAAACATCCTTAGCCACTGTTATGTCTCCAGCCTTAAATCTTTTACTTCTAAAATATTTATATTTATTTTTCTTTTTTCTTTTCTTTTTTACTTTTTTTTTTTTTTTTTTGAGACAGGGTTTCTCTGTGTAGCCTTGGATATCCTGGACTTTCTTTATAGACCAGGCTGGCCTCAAATTCACAGAGATCCACCTGTCTCTGGCTCCCAAGTTATGGGACCACAGTCCCATCGTTATTATGCCACTGCACTGGCTTAATATTTATTTTATGAATATGAATGCTTTTTTTTTTTGTATGTATGTTTGCACCATAAGTGTGCTTGGTGACTGTGGAGGTCAGAAGAGGGTGTTGGATCCCCTGGAACTGGAGTTACAGATGACTGTGAGTACATGGGTTCTGGGAATCAAACCCAGATCCTCTCCAAAGAAGAGTGAATGTTCTTAACAACTGAGCCATCTTTTCGACTTCTTAAATCTTACAGGTTAAATGCAAACCTAATTTGTGAGCAGCTTTTTAGAAAAATACTACTTCTCACAGGCCTGGATGGCTCAGTGTTAACAGTGCTTCCACAGGACCCAAGACTGGTTCCTAGCACCCATACTGTGTCACTCACAAACACACACACACACACACACACACGTGCGCGTGCACATTATACACACATACACAGACACATACAGATATACACATGAATAAAATAAAAATAAATTTAAGATACCATGTCTTATTCTAGAATAGCATGTTTCTGAACAGGATAGCGCCACTCCTCCCTTCCCTACCCCAGCTTTAGTTTCGCTCAGAAGAATCTTTGACAATAAAAAAAGTTCACTATTGCAATGGATTGTCAAGTTCTTTTAAAATTATTCTGGTTTTACTTTGTGGCATGTCTTGCCTGGTAAAGCGCTATTCATAACCAGGTCGTAATATTATCACTTTGAGGGAATGTGAGCATCCCAGAAATTCAACAAGTGACCCAGGGTCACAGAAATAATAAATGCAGCTGGAAGTCAAACCTGGATCATCCCAATTCCAGGCCCTGAGGAAACATTACGGCGAAGCACTGGATTCTATATTCCTGTTTAGGGTACCCAAGGCCATCGAGGAGATCCTCTGTAGCCATGAGGTCTCCAGCTTTACCCAGCCCTTTCCCCTCCCCCACCCCAGACACTGCACATTGCCCAGCTCTCTTACCCAGGGTGGACCCGCCAAAGGTGGACTCTATGGTGTAGCTGTTGGTGATGCCCATCCGCCACATGACGACTCTTCCTGTTCCTTCTTTGCATTTTTGCACCTTAAAGTTACAGCTGTCGAAAGAGAACTAAAAACAGACCCATGGTCTCTGTTAATTATATAAACTAGCAAATACAAGATGTCTCAGAGTCATTAATGTGAAACGAGGATGGTTCTTCGGGAGCTTCCGAGGCATTATTTCCTAAAGTATGTTCCATTAAGACACTGGTTTGGAGAATTGTCAAAATGTAGTGGTGGCTGAGGAGCTCTGTGGTTGCCTCAGCTGCGGAGATAATAGGCCTCCCAGCATTTAATGTGGACTGTGGTCTTTAAAAGGGAAAGAAACAGATAATTTCACTTCCTAGCCTTCTTTGCCCTCTGTCCCAAAGCATCTTGCCAGATAAAGATCCCTAGGAATCTGGGAATACTGGCACACTTTGACATCAGGTGCTGGCCAGCTTTTGTAAGTCTTTTTTCTTTTCTTTTCCTTTCTTTTCTTTTTTCTTTTCTTGACATGTATCCCAATGGATTTTCAATCCTCCTGCCTCTGCCTTTTGAATGCTGGGACTACACGCATGTGTTTCAAATGGGCTCTATGACTTACTCTCTGCCATAGAATATGAACTCTCAACTCTAGGTTTTCCGCCAAATAAGTTTTTGTTTGTTTTTCAAGACAGGGTTTCTCTGTGTAACCCTAGCTGTCCTGGAAATCACTCTGTAGACCAGGCTAGCCTACAACTCATAGCGATCAGCCTGCCTTAGCCTCCTGAATGCTGGGACTAAAGACATGCACCAGCACTGCCCAACCTCTAAATAAGGTTATTGATATATATGTTTCTAACTCCCTCCCCATAGTCTCTGTCTAGGGTTCTCTCCTCCCGTGGCTGTTGCTTTAAAAAAGAAAAAGAAAATCCCAACCATTCTATTTTACCAATAAATACTCAGGAGCCAGATGCTGGGATGAAAACCTGCTTGCTAAGAGAGGCAGAGAAAGCACCCAGATGACCTTCCTTTTCAGCTCAGGTCTGGATGGAAAAAAATTCTAAAGGCTCGGACTAGAGCAACGGCTCAGCAGTTAAGAGTGCTGGCTGAGTCCTGAAGATACCTGATAAAACAGGATCGGATGAATGGGGAGGAGGTTCCCCCTATCAGTGGACTTGGCAAGGGGCACGGCAGAGATGAGGGAGGGAGGGACTGGGAGGAAATGAGGGATCGGGACACGGCTGGGATACAGAGTTAATAAAATGTAACTGATAAGACAAAAATAAAATTAAAAAAAAAAAAAAAAAGAGTGCTGGCTGCTTTCCCAGAGGTCCTGAGTTCAGTTCCCAGCAACCACATGGTGGCTCACCATCTGAAATGAAATCTGATTCCTTCTTCTGGTGCATGAAAACAGTGTTCATACACATAAAATAAATACATAAAATCTTAAAAAAAAAAAAAAAAAACAAGGCCTAAGCTTAAGCCCCAAAGAGCCAGCTCAAAAACCCAGGGAGCTAACGCCTAAGCTATAGAGCTAAAAATCCCCCAAAGCCCTTTCTCCCACTCCACACAGTCTTAAATACCCCTCAACTCAAAGTCCCTTCTACTCTTTAATCACTGTTAGCTGGTTTCTTGTGCCACCTCTTGACTTAGAGTTAACTTTATTAAATCCTGTGTACAGGATTAAAGGTGTGTGCTAGGGCTGTTTACAATAAACAGAAAATTCTTGGATTAAAGGTGTATGTTAGGCTTCAACTATGGCAAACCAGAAGTAGGGTTTCACAATTTTGGGGTTCACAATGGGATCAAAACCCCTGCAACACATAGTGTTAGTCTTTTCACTAGGTTTTCAATGTCCTTTTCTTTTCATGCCCTGCTCAGTTCTTCAAGATCTGCAGCCTGTAACATATCTGGACATCATCCTGTCCTTCTACGGACAGGTTTTACAATGGGAAGGAATTTCACTCTCTAGTGCTGTGGAATCCAGGGGTTCTAGAGGAGTACCTTCGAGCATGCCTGCCTGGAAGACTGAAGGAGCCAGAGCAGGCAGGGTTCTAATTCCTGCCCCATAGTTCTGCATTTAGCTGTTTTAGATACTGACTTATAGATATTATTTCATCTGAAGAAAAAAAAGGAGAGAAAAATGCTGCTTTCGTAATAGAGAGCAGGCTGTAAAACATTTCTCATAGTGGTTTTCTGTTTTTGTCATGGGGCTAACGTACCCTAGGGCTGGCTTCAAACTCACTATGTAGCCCTCTGTGATCCTCCTGTCCCCACCTCCTGAGTGCTAGGATTTACCAGTATGTACTGCCATGTCCTGCATATGTGGTGCTCCTGCAAGCTAGGCAAGCCCTTGCTCAACTGAGCTACATCTTCAGCCTTGTCACACACAGCCCAATGAAAATTTGAACTATCATTTTTCTAAATCCAATCCAATCTCTAATGGCAGTTATACTTGTGAATCTACTTATAATGGGAAAAAGCAACTTCTAAACTAACGTACATTATCTGTATTTGCCCAGTGGTCACAAAGCTGTTAGTTAACTATTAAGCTTTAAGTTGTTTTCAACAGTTGTTAAGTTTTTAGCCTAGACTAGCTTCATGATGTCTCCTGTCTTGGCCTCTAAAGTGTTAGGATTATTACTTTACTTGGTAAAAGTTTCAACTTTTGACCAGGCGAAATAGCTAGAGCAATTAAAAAAAAAAGTTATCTTGCTACGTGGAGGTGGTACACACCTTTAATCCAAGAACTTGGAAGCAGAGGCAGGTGGATCTCTAAGTTTGAGGTCAGCCTGGTCTACAGAACAAGTGCTAGGTCAGCAAGGGCTACACAGAGAAACCTTGTCTCGAAAAACAATCAGACAAACAAAAAAATGTCTTGAGATGGGGTTGAACTCAGTGGTGGGGCACACAGGTAGTGTGCAGGAGCCCCTGAATTCAGTAACCTCCCCCAAATAATTTTTAATTGAGATAATTTGCACAGGAAGAAAATGAATTAATTTAAGTTACGCAGTTGCATACACAATGTCTATCATTCTGCTAGGCATGGTGTTCATGTCTGTAATCCTGGTATTTGAGAGGCAAGGACAGATGGATGGCTGCTGGTTTAAATAGAGAACGAGGGGGCAGCCAGGGCTACAAACCAAGACCATGTCGTAACAGACAAGCACACAGCCCCACAGTTTAAAAATACCTAATTCAGCGGCTTATATATTTACACAGTTGTTCACCTATCACCTCAGTCTCAGTTTAGACCATCTCCGTCCATAACCCAGAGAGGAACCTGAGGTCTAGGGGTGAAGCTGCTGCTAACGCGCCTACCCTCATGTACAGGTCCCAGACTCAGGCTTGTCCTCTGACCTTCACACTCGTGCTGGGGCACACTCATAGTGCCCTGTTCTGAAAACCAACAAATGAACAGATATAGATTTGCCTTTTCTGGGTTGTGGACATAGCTCAATGGCTAGCGCGAACAGGGTCCTTGTTGATCCCTAGCATGGTAAGGAAAAAAATGTCTCTTTTGAGCATCGCATGCAATGGAATCATATAATATTGCATTTGGCTTCTTTCACTTAATGTATTCAAGGTGCACTTGTGTCCTAGCTTATCTTTCTTTGTAGCCCATGCTCGCCCAGAACTTTCTATGTAGACTAGTCTGGCCTTGAAGCACAGAGATCTGCCAGTTTCTGCTTCCAGAGTGCTGGCATTAACGTCAATCATTATCATGCCTGGCTGACCCACCATTTAAAAAGAATGGTCTCTCTGACTTTCTCTCTGGGGGTACCGCAACATCCCCCTCTTTCTTTTCTCCTATGCTCTTCCACATCTCTCTCTATCTCTTTGTCTCAGTCTCTTTCTCCCTACCCCCTACAATAAATCTCTTCATATAAGGAAAATTTGTTTTAAATTACATGTTTTATGTGTGTAAATGTTTTGCCCGAATGTATGTATGCGCACTATGTGTGTGCCTGCTACCAACAGAGAACAGAAGATGCAGAAGATGGTATCAGATCCCCTGGAGTTGGGGTTATATACGGCTGTGGGCCACCATGTGGGTGCTGGGAACTGAACCTGGATCTTCTGCAAGAGCAACAAGCGCTTTTAATAGCTCAAACATCTCTCCAGTTCCTGACAAAGCAATTCTTAAACCTACACTCTAACTCTTGACACCTAGGGGGCTAGAGAGATGACTCAGCAGTTAGGCGCACTAGCTGCTCTTCCAGAGGACTCAGGTTCAATTCCCAGCACCCACATATCTGCAACTCCAGTTCCAGGATTTCTGACACACTCACAGAGACATCTATACAGGCAAAACACCAAGGCACATAAAATGAATAAATAAATCTTTTTTAAAAATTCTTAACACCTAGGTCCCTGGGATTCACCAAAGATAATAACGTTAAACACAATAAGCCAAACACTTCATCTAGGAAGCAATGCGTCCCTTTGTCCCTCAGTATAAGGTCAGAAGATTACAGCACATGCTTACCTTATCTGGTGCATTCTTGCTCAACATTAAAGGGAAGACTCGCTCGTGGAGCCAGTGCTTGCGGCTGTTGCTGTTACAGCCATACAGGAAGATATTGTTCTTGCGGCTGTGCCCATGGAAATCACAATACAAGAGAACCTCTCTTTCCTCCAGAAGTCTATTGGGGGACAAACAAAGGATGCAGTGAACATCCAAACTCATAGGAGATTAAATCACTTGCCTATCGGTGGTCGCAGAATCAGTCAATAGTAAAATCCTTACACGTTGGTCAAACCCATCAGTCCAACCCTTTTCATATATGTACACACAGGTGTGATTAGAAAGTTTCATCCATATCTTATCTGTTATGTGCTCACTTCCAGTGGAATGGAAGATTTTTAAGATGGGTGCTATTACCTGATAGCTTCAAGCTGCTTTCACACAGTCCTGAAAGGGCAGACTAATTTATTACTTTCTCTTCATTAGAAGCAACATATGGTGATTTTAGGGCCCTCAGATTCTGCGTCAGAGAGCCTGTGTTCAAATTCATACCCTGTTGCTTGCCAGCTCTGTGACCTTGTTCAAGTTATTTAACAATTTTGGAACTCAATTTCCTTATTGCATACAATAGTGGATATTGACCACATGCAATCTCCGAGGGTGAATGGGGACACTAAATGGGCCGAGGTGTAAAGCATGGATCATAGTATCTGTTATTTCATACTTAAGCACTGTTAGTTTCATTATGATTACAGTTTCATAGCGATAAAACTTCCCTGATCTTTTCCATCCAGTTGTGTTTGACTAAAAAATGAGACTGAGCCTAGCATGGTGGCACAAGCCTTTAATCCCAACAGAGCAAGGCAAATCTCTGCAGTTTGAGGCCAGTCTGACATAGTGAATTCCACCCCAGACCTTCCATCAGAAATGAACATGTAATAACTGGGCTGGAGAAGTGGCTCCGTAGATAAAGTGCTTATTATGCAAGCATGAGGAGCCAAGTTCAGGTTCCCAGCACCCACGTAAAAGCTGAACGTGGTAGGGAGTGTCTAGAGCCGAAACACAGAGAACGTGGTTGGGGAGATACACAGATTCCAGGGGCTTGAGAGCCAGCTAGTCCAGCCAAAACAGGAAGCTCTAGGGTCAGTGGGTGATTCTGTCACAAAAGAGAAGATGGAAGCCAGGCAGTGGTGGCGCCCACCTTTAATCCCAGAACTTGAGAGGCAGAGGCAGGCAGATCTCTGTGAGTTTGAGGCCAGCCTAGTCTACAGAGAGAGTTCCAGGACAGCCAGAGCTAAAACAAAGAATCCTGTCACACCCCCTCCCCAAAAGAATGAAACTGGGACTATAGCTCAGTGAGAGAGTGCTTGCCTAGCATGCGCTAAGCCTTAAATTCAATTCCAGAGGGATGGGAGAAGGGTTAAAATGGTTGCTATATTGATGCATGCCTAGTTTTCTTTTAGAGACCTGATGTGATTTAAAGGTCTGAAAATTAATTTGTGACTGCAAAGACTCTCCAAGCCATACCAGACCTCTCAAGTAAGAGAGATCCTCCTCCTCCTAAGGTAGGAGTAGCTGGCACTAATGCTCACAGCGTTCACAAAATTATCAACAAAGAGCTCTCACCTTTTGATCATGGTCTTGGTGTGCCAAATGCAAGGGAAAGAATCCTTAAGAACAGTCTTATAATGCCTGTTCAGGTCCCTTCCAGCTAAGGAGCACCGGTAATTCCCCACAATCACGCCATCTGGATTTAACATGGGAATCACTTTGAAGACAAAGATGTCCCTGAGCAGCTGGGCGTCTGGGCTGTTGCTAAGGATGAAGTCCAAAAAGCCTCTCATGATCCAGGAGCTGTTGCTTTCCCCAGGGTGAACTCTGGCGCTCAGCACCACAGCTCTCTTTGCAGCTGCCGCTTGAGGGTCCCTGGACGGATTGGTGACGGTAAGCAAGTAGACAGTATTCCCTGCTAGGCTCCTGCATAAAGCCCGGAGCTTGCAGAACTGAGACTGGATGGGGTTGTTAGCTACTGACAAGAGATAGTACTGCAGGTCAGTATAAGTGTATGGGTAAAAGTGTGCAAAGAAGCAAGTGTCCTGGTCATGAGGAAACTGAACGGTCCAGGTGAGACAGTATAACGGCTGCTGCCTGTCATCCATGTTGTTCTTATAGTACTTGATTTCACGTCCTTCTCTCCTCCAGCCAATGTTGTAGGTGGCGGCATCCAACTGAGAGTACATAAGAGGTTTCATCCCTTCTGCATAAAGGCTCTTGGGTTTCAGCAAGTTGACGATAGTGAAGCGATAGGTGATGTCCTTTCTGGTGTTCTGAACTCTAAAGTAAAACCACTGAGTGTGTTTGTCTGTGTAGAGGTCAGTTCGCAGCGTGAGCTCATACTCAAAGATGCCTCTGTAACATAAAGAAAGAAAAAAGAACATTTCTACAACTTCATCACCTCCCTCTCAAGGCAAATATGGGAAAGTATTGTTTTCTCCTTGGAAAAACAGATTGATGACAACTGGCTGGCACAGCTGTTTCTTTTCTGGTTTACCTACTTTTCCAAGTCTCATAATATACTAATGAAGCATGTGGGAGGAAAATTTGTTTGGGACTGAGAAGGGAGAGTTCCAAATCTTACTATGAGCTGGATACGGTGTGACGTACTAATAATCACAGCACTTGCCCCGGGGCGGAGATAAAAGGATAATAATTTCCAAGCCAGCTTGGACCATACAGTGGATTTCAGGCTGGCCTGAGTTACCTAGGGTTTTTGAACTTAGGGAAAACTTGTTTTAAAAAGCCAAACAAACAAATTTACTGCTGCAAGGGGTGTTTGGAGGTTCTGTTAACTTCTTGGTCTCTTTCTGGTACGTCACTAAGCAGTTTCTTGTCACTGTAGCACGTTCCTCCGGAACACACTGCACAGTGCCCTCTCCTGGCTGCTTGCTAGCTATCCATCTCACAGATGAGATCAAGTCGTGAAAAGCCTCAAGCCCTAGTGCTGTTTTCATCTCTGGTCATCAATTTGAAGATCTCTGGAGTACATTATCTTTGCTTTAAGGGAGCAAGATACTGGGGCTGGCAAGACAGTTTGGAGGGGAAGGGTCCTTGCCACGAGGCCTGATGACATGAGTTCAGTTCCCAGAACTCATGTGGTGAAACCCAGAACTCACGTAGGAGAGAATCGATTCCTTCAAGTTGTCCTCTGACCTGCACAAACACATATGCATGCCCCAAAGTGTGTCCTTTCCTCTCTGGGAAGAGTTGTTTTTTTTTTTTTTTTTTTTAAAGAAGAAGCTAGGTACAGTGGAGCACACCTAGAATCTTAGGACTAGAGCCTGAAGTAGGAGGTCTCTAAAGTTAAGGCCAATATCAGAGATGTAGCAAATCCTGTCCCCAAAAACAAAGAAATAGAGATGAAAAGCCAAATTCACGAAAGGAAATGTATAAGGCAAAGAGAACAAGATGTTCACCCACGCCCATAATTACGAAAATGTATATTGAAATGAGTGGACAGTGGGTAGGGACAGCTCAGCGGTGGGGCACGTGCTTAGTATGTGTCAGGCACTGGGTTCGATTTAAAATCTTCTTTAGATTTATTTAGGTGTCGAATGTTTTGCCTGAGTATATGTACATGTTCCATGTGTGTAGCTGGTGCCTGTGAAGGTCAGAAGAGGGGGTCAGATCCCCTAGAACTGGAGTCATGGGTGTTTGTGAGCCCCCGTGTGGGTGCTGGGAACCTGGGTTTCCTGCAAGAGTAGCAAGTGTTCATAATTGCTGAGCCACTGCTCCAGCTCCCAGGTTCCATTGCTTCTTGTCTGTTTGTTTTGTTTTGGGACAGAGTCTCTTTATGTATCCCTGAATGTCCTGGAACTCACTCTGTAGACTAGGCTCACCCTCAAACTCATAGAGCTCCACCTGCCTCTGCCTCCCGAGCGCTAGGATTAAAGGCATGCGCCACCATCGGTTCCTGGCTCAATTTGTAAATGCTGAACCTTCTGTGTTTATCTGGTCGGCATTAGGAGAGAGGCCTTTCCACATACCAATGAAGGGAACTGAAGCCACAGTGGAGCTTCAAGGGTCCAAACCCTTTGACCTAATAATTTTCTTTTTAGAATTCATCCTGTAAGACCACAAAAATTTAAAAACATAATTCATAAGGGTGTTCATTCATTAAGATAATTAACCAAAAAAACCATTGTGATTGGCCCTGAGGGACTGGGTAAATACGGTATGGGATAGACATAGAATTATATGCACGCTTCAGTTATTTAAAAATGAGGACTTGCATCCTTCCCCAGGCTGGTCTTGAACTCCTAGCCTCGAGCAGTCCTCCTCCCTTAGCCGCCTGAGTAGATGGACACACAAGCACATGCCACTGTGCCTTCACAGATAAACACGAGGAGGCACATATATTCATACGTGTATACTTACACATACTCGTACATGCAATCTGTGTGTACTGCACACACACATTTGGGCACAAATACCAAACTACTGATAGTTCTCACACACAGGGCTTTTTATGCTGTACAAAGTGTTAGAGTTTTAAGTATCGTTGTGTGTGTGTGAGCGTGTGCGCGCCCCGGTGTCTGCGTGGAGGGCACAGACCGACTTTGTGGGTCTTGTGTGCTGTGCTGCTTGTCTACTTCGACCTTCAGGTGGAGTCCGGGGATTGAACTCAAGTCGTAAGCTGACAGGCAAGTGTCTTTACCCACTGAGTCGTCTTGCTGATACAACTTTTTTTTTTTTTTTTTTGGTCTTTTGAGACAGGGTTTCACTGTGTAGCCCTGGCTGTCCTGTACTCGCTTTGTAGACCAGGCTGGCCTCGAACTCACAGAGATGCGCCTGCCTCCCAAGCACTGTGTGCCGTAGGTGCCTAACTCACTGATACAACTTTAAAAAAAATTATTATTTTTTATTTATTACAATTTATTCACTTTGTATCCCAGCTGTAGCCCCCCTACCTTGTCCCCTCCCAATCTACCCTCCCTCCCTCCCTCTGCCCCTCCCATGCCCTCCTCGAGTCTACAGAGAGGGCTGATACAACTTTTCAGTGAACTCTTCTTTTCTTTTGTAAGCAGAAGAAATGACGTTTTATTCCGGGGAAAAATTAGTCATAATTGCCCACTCTTTGTCATCCTCTTAGTGCGTTTTCTACCCCTCTCTTTTGCAAGCGTCCTGAATTCCTGAAGTCATTCCTAAAGACACCTCTCGGCCTTCTCAGTCACCACCCTCTGAGAAGCTCCTTGTTACTCACACTCTGACAGCTTTCTGCAGATTCCCACTCTCAAACCGGGACTCAAACAGCAGGGTACTATCTTCCGGCCCTTGTAACGGAACAGCAAGTTCCTTGATAACTCCTCGTTTGCCTCCTACTCTGGAATTTGTGAAATAGGTACCTTCTGTGGGCACTGCAGATGAGAAAAGATACCGTTAGGCTCCATTCAGAATTCATTCATCGCTGCCGAGCCCTACCCACCCTACAAACATTTCATGGGTTTTTAACTATCCTTAGCTTTACAGCTGCTAGACGCTTTTGCACATAGCAATGGGGGTTGAACCCAGGGCCTCACCCCCCCCCCCGCCCCAGGCTAGTGTTCTGCCTAGTAAGCTCCAGCTCCAGCAGAGGCCCTTGATTTCCTACAGTGCATCGCTCTCAAGCCTGTAAGTGGTTTAGAGTACTGCCTTTTTCGTCAGAGCCTTGGCAAAGCGGATACCGCTTGTCTCCATCTAAATATTGATTTTAAAGGATGTTGATGAGAGCTGAAGTCCTCGCCCACCTTCCTGGAATTCTGGTGGAGGCTAGGGTAGGAGGATTGCCACAAAGCTCCGGGCCACGCAGCAAAACTATGCCAGATCACCAAAGCTAAAACAACCAACCCTGACAATGTCGGAAAGTGAGAGAAATCAGAAACAGGGCTATTTTGGCTGTTTCTTAAAAGAAGCTCTGTAAACATCTGCAGTCTTGTTCTATAAAACATTCAACTAGGACCTATCAATTTTAAAAAGGATAATGTACAAATAAAGTACATTGCATGTAATGTTTTGCCATATTCTTCCAGGATAAAATGAAGATAAACATTTGAGAAGAATTGGCACGGGTTAAATTTCCCTAGAGGAGATTCAAAATGTCAGTGGCTAGTGAAAAATAAAGGTTATGGTGAGCACCTTATTTTTAAAACAAAGCTATGGGGAACGCTCTTGTAGAAGATTGGAGTTGGGCTCCCAGCGGCCACATGAGGAGGCCCCTGATTGCCTACAATTCTAGTTGCAGGGGATCCAACAACCTCTCCTGATACCAGAGAGCCCTCTCCTCATATGTACATATACACACACCTACACACAGGTGGACATAATTAAAAATAAAAATCTTTTGGAAAGAATGCTTGGCCGGGCATGGTGACACACGTTTTTAATCTCGGCACTCAGGAGGCAGAGGCAGGTGGATATCTGAGTTCGAGGCCAGCCTGGTCTACAGAGTGAGTTCCGAAACATTCAGGTCTACACGGAGAAATCAAGGCTATAACAAGAAGTGCAGCTTAAGAAAATTAGGTATTCTGTTGTCAAGATGGCTCAGTGGATAATGACAATTGCCACCAAGCCTGATGACCTGAGTTGTGGTCCCAAGGGTCACATGGTGAAAGCAGAGTACCAGCTCTTACAAGTTCTTCTCCAACTTCTAAACATATGCTATGGTACACATGATCACCTCCCCCAAATAAATAAATGTAATTTATAGACCAGGCTGGCATTGAACTCAGAGATCTGCCTGCCTCTGCCTCCTCGAGTGCTGGGATTAAAGGCATGTGCCAACACGATTGGTTAATAAACTAATTTTTAAAAACAAAAAATTAGGTTATTTATAATCCATTCCTCCTGATGCTTCGAATAATAATAAATTGTTTAAAAATATTTCATGACTTTGCATACAAATTTAGTGAGAGTGTTACATGTTTTTTGTTTTTTTTCTTTTGAGACAGAATCTCTGTATGTAGCTCTGGCTGGCCTGTAAGTTCATACATAGACCAGGCTGTCCTCAACTCACAGAGATCTGCCCTACCTGCCTCTGTTGGCATTAAAGGCACATACCATACCAGGCCCGACCCCTCACTTATGTTTTTGACCCAGGGTCTCACATGTACAGGCTGGCTTGGAGCTCCACATGTAGCCCAGGATATGCTTGAGCTTCTGATCCCCCTGCTCCTGTCTCCACAGTGCTGCCTGCTCTCTGGTGCTGCAGACTAAGCCCAGGGTTTTGGAACTGCCAAACAAGTACCTTTCTATCTAAGCTGTGTTCCCAGCTGGCATCTGCAGGTTTTACACATCAGATCTTTATAGTTTCAAAGATCTCTCTTTGTCCCACAGTATTTAGTATTGTTTCCTAAAGAACCTACTTTATCATTTTTCTTTGATACTCCTGTTAATTTGGTGAAAATTTATTTTTTTACTTATTTGTCAATGACTTTGTGATTTAGGCAATTTTAGTATCCATCAGATACTTCATAAAATCCTGCATTTCTTATGAAGATCACAATTGTAATCAATTTTTACTATACTTTCATTATATTTATTATATTCATATACTATTATAATATACATTATATATTTCAGCAGTTAAGACTCACTAATTGTCAAGATAATGCTATGAAGCATGCTGACCATGGAGCATTAAAAAAAAAGCAGTGTTTGTAAAGAATCTGATTTTTTTTTCATTCATTTGTATGTGCATGCTACCTATGTGCAAGTACCCATGAAGACCTGAAGAGGACATTAGATTCCCTGGAGCTGGAGTTACAGGAGGTTGTGAGCTACCCATTGTGGATTATGGCAACCAAACGCAGGTCCTCTGGAAGAGCATTAAGTGTTTTTAGCTTCTGAGCTATCTCTCTAGTCTCAAGGATATACGCATACTTAATCATATATAATCATATGTATGTATATATCTTTGTAGCACTCGATGGCCTGGAACTCTCTACGTAAACGAGGCTGGCCTTGAACTCACAGAGTTCTGCCTGCCACTGCCTTCCAAGAGCTGGGATTAAAAGTGTGTACTACCACTCCTAGCCTCAGGAAACCCATTTTCTTAACTGATCCTTGTTACGACTTTTATTTTCATATGCAATCTTGTCTCTGTAAAGTTTAGATAACAAACAGCCAGAGAATAAACTATAGCAAAGGAGAAAACACACAAATAAAGAAGTGATCAGGAGAAGAAAATAAACACAGAAGAAAATCAAGTGTACATAAGCCCATTCTAGCTGAAAGCTGGAAGCCTACAGAGCAGTTTTTTTTAAGAAACTGCAAAGTACCATTCAGCAAACAGATGCCATTAATATAGAAATTTCATTATTTTATTTAATATTTCAAAGTATCATTTAAGGTGGACTAACTTCTGTAACTCAATAACATTCATCAATGAAGAGAAATGTGCTGGGCATGGTGGCACGCATCTATAATCTCAGGACTTGGGTAGTAGGGGCAGGTGGATCTCAGTCAATTCAAGGCTAGCTTGGTCTATAATAGTGAGCTTCAGGACATCCAGGGTGACATGGAAAGATGCTGTCTCAAAAACAAATGAAAGAAAGACAGAAAGAGAGAGAGAGAGAGAGAGAGAGGGAGGGAGGGAAAGAAAGAGAAAGAGAGAAAGAAAGAAAAAAGAAAGAGAGAAAGAAAGAAAGAAAAAGAGAAAGACAGAAAAAGAAAAAACAATGTATCATCATTTAAAAAAAGAACTATTGGGCTGGAGAAATGGCTCAGCAGTTAAGCACACTGGCTGTTCTTCCAGAGGACCCAGGTTCTATTACTAGTGCCCACACAGCTGCTTACAACTGTCTGTAACTCTAGTTCCAGGGGATGTGATGCCTTCACACAGACATAAATACAGGCAAAACACCAATGCACATAAAATAAGACATTAAAAATGTTAAACTGGATGGTAGTGGCGCACACTTCTAATCCCAGCACTTGGGAGAAGAAGCAAGAGGATCTCTAAGTTCGAGGTCAGCCTGGTCTACAGCATGAATTCCAAACAGCCAGAGCTACACAGAGAAACCCTGTCTCAAAAATATACATGTATAAATATAAATTAAAAGGAACTATTGAAGAGCTAGAAAGATGGCTCAGCAGTTAAGAGCTCTGGTTGCTTTTCCAAGGACCTGGATTCAATTCTTAGCACCCACATGGTATCTTAAAACTTCCTGTAACTCCAGTTTCAAGGGATACAATATACCCTCTTGGGACCTCCATGGTTATTGTATGCATGTGGTGCACAAGCATTCATGCAGGAAAAACATCCTAACACACAGACTAATATTTAAAAGTAATTAAAAATAAACCATTGAAAACATACAGCTCATCGGTCATGACTGTCAAAGCTTCCACACAGGCCAAAGACAAAATTATCATTAAGGTGGCAATTTTAAAGAGCACTGTTAGAGGCAGGAAGATCCAACAAGTAAAAGAACTTGCCACCAAAGCCTGACAACCTGAGCCTAAGTCCTGGGTCCCTCCTAGTAGGAGGACGTAAGTGACTCTCAGAACTTGTCCTCTGACCTCTCTTTTTCTGCGTATGTTGTGGTGTACCTTTTCCCATACAATACATCCTCCTTATTCACACGCAAGTATTTGTAGTAAAAGAGGAAGGATGTAAAGCCATTTTTAGGGCAGGCAAGATGTCTGAGTGGGTCAAGGAGCTTTTCATCCTTGGAACCGACATCAAGGTGAGAGAGTACTGACATCAGCTGTCCTCTGACCTCCAAATCTGCACCGTGGCACATGTGCCCATAAACACACAGACACAGGGATGCGTGTTTAAAAAGTCAGATCACTTTTATTGTGCACACCAGGTTTACTGTAACTCTGTGGGAGTTATCATTCGCTGTTCAGAGCGATGACAGTACCTGAATCCAGCTGGTAGACAACTGTGCCTCGCTCTTCTCCCACAACCTCTGGTAGCCTTTCATGCCCCGTAGGCTGGTAGAAATACTCCGGCTCAGGTGGAACCCACTCTGAAAGAAGATATTTCCCAAAGTACAGAATAAGAGACGACACAATAAAAGTGAATATAGAATTATAATTACTCGAGTGGTTAATGTTGTTCAAGCCAACCTAATTCTCATCCCAAGTTTCCAGCCTGCTTATAAATTCAGTGTCATGCTTCCTTCTGTAACAGCTAAGGGCAGACACTGAGCAAGCGGCATGCCAAATGGTAGCATGTGCCCAGTATGCACAGGCTCCTGGGGGTATTACCAGCATTGATACATATACAGTAAAATCACAATTTTTTTTAATAATTTGTTTGTGTTCATGTGCCTGGGTGTGTGTACACGGGAGCTCTGAGGATAGCCTTCAGAAATTTGCTCTCACATGCGTGTTTAAGGCAGTGTCTCTTTGTTTCCTCTCTCGGACTATGTACTCTAGGTGGGCTGGACCTCAAGCTTTCAAACAACTCTGTCTCCATCTCCTAGCAGCGCGGGGACGACAGATGTATGCTGCCCATCACTTCCAGCTTTCTACGTAGACTCTGGCATTCCAACTCAGCTTGTCAGGCTTGTGTGTTGGCCGTCTACCCCCATTATAAATTTTAAAAGAAAATTCAAAAGGTTACTATCAGTGGTTGCATCTTGACCCTGGGTTTCCTTGAAGAAAGGGAAATGTGGCCAGATACATGCTATTTAATTTTTTTATGTGTTTTAATTTATGTGTGTCTGGATGAGTGTATGCCAAGCGTGTGCAAGTGCCTGTGGAGGGCTGGGGCTACAGGTGGATGTGAACTGTCGGACGTGGGTGCTCCGACCCGAACTTGGATCTTCTGGAAGAGGAACGAGAGCTCTACGCTGGGTAATTTCATGTCAACTTGGCACAGACTAAAATCATTTGAGAAGAAGGAACCGCAATTGAGAAAACACCCCCCTATGCTCAGGCTGTGAGAAAGCCTGTGGGGCATTTTCTTAATTAGTGAGTGGTGGGGACAGCCCTCTCCTGGGCTGGAGCCAGGGTTCTGTAAGAAAGCAGGCTCAGCACGCTAGGAGGAGCAAGCCAGTAAGCAGCACCCCTCCATGGCCTGCTTATCAGCTCCTGCCTCCAGGTTCCTGCCCTGTTTGAGTTCCTGCCCTGACTTGCTTTGACGATGAACAATGATGTGGAAGTATAAACCCAATAAACCCTTTCCTCTCCAAGGTGCTCTTGGTCATGGTGTTTCATCACAGCAGTAGTCACCTAAACTAGGAAAAGTTCTTAACCACTGAGCCATCTTTCCAGCCTCAGAGACACAGTTTGTTACTACAGAAAAGCACATTCTTTGTTTCAGAGAAAATAAAGCCTTAAGTGATGACTTTAAGAGTCAGAAACTTTGTCCTTTTTGCTTGTTCTGTGTTTTTGAGACAGGGACTCTCTGCATAGATCTACACACATATGTGGATGCATGTGTGCCACGTGCATCCTTGGTGACCTAGGAGGGCAAAGAGACGGCATCAGGTCTCCTGGAGCCAGAATGACAGATGGTTGTGAAGTACCACGTGGGTGCTGGAAATTAAAGCCAGGTCCTCTGGAACCAGCCAGTGAGCAGAGCCACATCTGTTTTCCAGGTCCTTTCACCAGCCTGGATGTAAGTGATGGAGTCCATAGTGCCAGAACATACTTTTTACTGTTCTTAAGTTTATTTTACGCTTGCTAGAGCTTTTTATGGGAATAGCAGAGTTGGGCTTTTGTGTTTTGTTTCCCGGGTGCTGAAAATGAAATTCAAGCCTTTGTTCAGTAGCCAGAGCTATCTCGAAAACTAAATGTGTATATATATACACACACACATATATTTATATAAAATATATATATGTGTATATATACATATATAATATATAAATATATATACATATACAAACGTATATATATATATATATATACATATGCAAAATATTGTATGCCAGTTGGGCAGTATATCACACCTTTAATCCCAGAACTCAGAAGACAAGCAGGAAGGTCTGTGAGTTCCAGGAAAGCCTGGTCTATATAGTGAGTTCCAGGAAAGCCAGGGCTCCACAGAGAAACCCTGTCTTGAAAAAAACCACTTTTTCTCAAAAAAAAAAAAAAAAAAAAAAAAAGGACTGTATACCAAGAGCTCAGACAGGTAGACAGGACTCTTACATCACAAAATAGAATCCACAAGCTGAGTGGGAATGGAGCTTTTGTGACTAATGCACAAAAGCTGAGAAAACAGGCTTCAGTATTTATAAATTCTGGCCTCAAAAAAGCTATCCTCCCACTCCTGGACACAGAAGCATTCTAGTGTCTGCTTTGGTTAGTTACCAGACGTACCTCCTGTCTTACCTTCTATGTTGGCTTGAAAGAGGAAATTCTAAGGCTGGAGAGTTGGCAGCAGTGCCGAGGTGTTTACGGTGTGAGCATGAGGACCTGGGCTGGCCAGCACGGACGCACACTGGAGAACTGGGAGTGAACATGTACACCACAGCGCTGGGGAGCTGGGGAGGGGCAGCTGGGGCTATCTGCCTCATTTGTGAGCTGTCGGTCCCAGCAAGAGCCGCTGTCTTAAAACCGGGGACAAAAGGGCCTGCTCCTGAGACATGATACCTTGGCCCGCTCTCCAGCTTCCGTGTGCCCACGAGACAGGTGCGCGTGTGCACATAGTCAACGTTAAATCCTACAGCCTTGTAACAAAGCACGATAAAGTAGTAGGAACACACACACACACACACACACACACACACACACACACACACATTACCAATGTGGTGAATGTTTTCCTTGATGACCTCACACTCCACTGGCCATCTTGGAAGCTGCAGGGGCCCTCGGCTAGAGATGAACGAAAAGAGCTCTCGGGGTTCTCGAAGGCGTGGCTTTACTTCATCCAGGTCATTGTAAAGAAGCTGCCTGCTCCTCACAAGTGGGGAGCTCAGCATAAGGGAATCTGCTGAGAGGAAGAGAAAACATAGGAGCAACTTCCTTTTCCACCCCGAGGGATTTACTGCTCTTTTCTAAGGAGATCACTTAACAGCAATCCGGGTGTGGTAGTGCACAGCTCTAATCCCAGCTCTCAGGAGGCAAAGGCGGGAAGATTTCTGTGAGTTCAAGGCCTGTTCTGCACAGAGTTCCAGGCTAGGTGGGCGCACACAGTGTGCACAGAGATGCTGCTGTAACATGCCCCCATCACCAATAAAAGCTTAAAGAGAGTAGACCGCGTAAAATGACAGATAAAAATTATAAACCGCTAGGTCGAAATTCTGCATAACCTAGATTTTTGTTTTTCTTGTGTAGCTTTGGCTGTCCTGGAACTCATTATGTAGACCAGGCTGGCCTTGAACCCACAGAAATCTGCCTGCTTGTCTCCTGAGTGCTGGGATTAAAAGTGTGCACCGCCAATCAAGAATGTTTAAAATTCAAGTTAATGGGTCCAAGATCTCCCAACAGTGAAGACTTTCACTTCTCCTGTCAACACGATGGGGGAAAGCACAAACACTCCATTAACTCTAGTGACAGAAGCACAAAGACCTAAACTTAAATCTCCAGGACATAGGCAAAAACGTTGGGCATGGTGATGTATGCTTGTGGACAGCATTTCTGAGGAGGGCACCCAATGTTGTCCTCCAGCCTATACAAAGACAGACAGACAGGGGGCTGGAAAGATGGCTCAGAGGTTAAGAACACTCACTGTTCTTCCAAAGGTCCTGAGTTCAATTCCCAGCAACCACATGGTGGCTCATAACCATCTATAGTGAGATCTGGTGTATAGGCAGAGTGTTGTATAAATAATGAATATGTCCTTAAAAAAAAAACACATTAAAAAAAAAAAAAGACAGACAGACAGAAATAGGGAGAAAAAAAGGAAAGAAAAAAGATGATAATTCTCAGGTGGTGGCGGATACTTCAGCTGGTAGACTGGTAAGCTGGTTTGCTGCGCAAGAGCTTGCAGACATGAATTCAGAGGCCCACGGCCTATATAAGAAGTGGGAATAAAGGTGCAGGTCTTTTTTCCCAGTTTGGGATGGTCAGAGACAGGTAGATCCCCTGAAGCTCACTGGCCAGGCAGTTTAGCCAAATCAGTGAGTTCCATGCTCAGTAAGAGAGACCATGTCTCAGCCACCCGCCCGCCGTAATCCCAGTACTATGGGAGGCATGGAAGGCAGAGGCAGGCAGAGCTCTGTGAGTTCGAGGCCAGCCTGGTATATAAAGTGAGTCCAGGACAGTCAAGGCTTCACAGAGAAACCCTGTCAAAAAAAAAAAAAAAAAAAGCAAAGCCCTTTCCATCTCTGGTCGCCGTAGGGTGGGGCTGCTGCTATGTCCACACATCTGCAATGGATGGTTGTTCGGAAGTGCTCCAGTTCCTGATGGAGAGGAACGAGCAGACCTACAGCACCGAGCCCGATAATCTAAAGTGCTGCAACTCCTTGCGCTTCAACAGGCTGATTCACCGCCTGACTGCCGGTGGAGCCCGAGGCCAACGGCAAAAGGGGCCATGGTCGCCATGAAACGCAGATCTGGTCAGCGAAAACCTGCCACTTCTCACTCGAGGACCACCATCAACAAGAGTGCTCCGGCCACCCTCAGCAGCACCAGACACATGATCTCAGAGAGGAAGCACCGCCCTGATCTTCGAAGAGCGGCTGTCCGCAGCCACAGTGCCACCCTGCCAAGCCAGAAGCTGGTGGTGAAGAGGAACAGGACCAGTTGCACCAAGAGCTCCTGAGCACCACACCCCAGAAACAAGAGTCCACTGACTTTTTCAAACACACACACACACACACACACACACGAGAGAGAGAGGGGGGGCTTGTCTCAAAAATTAAGGTTGCGAGGGATAAAGACATACAGCAATGGCCTCTAAAGGTGAACATACACACCCACAGATGTACATACAACATATACCATGCAAACACACACATTTAAAAAAACTATAGTGCAGCAACTGACAAACAGAATTTCAGATCCGTGCTATACTTATAAGAAGTTCAATACCTCTGGTTCCAGTGTCTATCTGAGCATGCCCAGTTGAAGATAAACAGGTAGGCCCTAGAAAGAAAGAAAGAAAGAAAGAAAGAAAGAAAGAAAGAAAGAAAGA